ACTAACTTAATTGAAAGTATACTCCTACATAAAGCCTATTGTGAGCCCATACTATAAATCTAGAATGGAAAAGGTAATCGGCTTCAAATATAACTCTAGTACAGACAAATGAAAGCAAGACTAGCACAAATACAAAAGTTTTAAATAGACTAAGTGTTCCAATTTATAATTTAGGTCTAGAAACATCTATGTGGCTATAAAAGCTTGATAAAATCAGCATTGTATTTTTTCTACTGTATTACAAAGCACTTTGATGCAAAGATAACTGCATGGATGCAAGTGAATACATAAAGCTTTCTCCTAACGGACGGGGGCAGGGGAAAGCACAATCAGTGAAAAATACTACCTGAAACTCTAAGAAATGGTGGTAACGTTTACAAGTGGAATAAGTGGCATGACAAGCTAATAAACAAACATGCAGATTTCCAGCTCCTTTTTGCTTCAATAGCAAACTGAAGGTCACTCTTCCAATGTAAGATTATTGCTCTCAAAGAGTGGTAGTAACAATGAGCAGGTAAGCAAGTTTGCTCACAACTTAGTTCCAGTTAAACAAATAAGAATGAAATGCAGTGCAAGTGTAAGTAACTGACTTTATTACAACTACTTAAAAGTTACTTGGAAAAGGAAGAAAAATAGAATTTAGGCAGTTTTTCACATCTTTATAACGTACTAAAAGCAAAATATTTTCTTCCATTACCTCTATACCAGAAAAAAAGAAAACAAATCCAATTCCTTCAGACATCCATCCAAACATTTCCACCCATTAGGAATAACTAACAGCTCCCTGTGTGATATAATACATTTTAACAGAATATCTAGAGGTTTGATAGTGAAAATTTACCACCAGGACAGTCTAGTCTAGATCAGCATTATATGACACAAACAAGCTCGAAGAGCTCAGACAGTCCTCTCAACATTATTATCAAAGATATTAAGTCTTTACAGTAGTTAAAAGCCATCATTTTAGAACATGGTAGCAATTAAAACGTATTAGGTGTCGCCCAAATATACAAAAAGATGCACCTTCCACCCTAAAGTTGCTGAAGAAAGCCAAAACCCCGCTGTAACTCCCCTCATAGTCTCACGCTATTGTGTTATACTACTGTCACGTAACAGCCAAGGTCCACAGACACTAACATTGACTAACAGCATTTGACATACGACACCCACAAAACCTGGCTAACAAAAACTTCCTTCTACACAAAATTTTAAAGTATTATTTTCACTTCAACGCGTCTGAAACAGTTTGGAAGAAGGGATACAGTAGTAGGAATTTTATAAACTTTTAGTTATTTAATAGAATAACAACCAACTGATGAACACTTGAGAATGGGTTTTTTTTGTTTGGTTGGCTGGTTTTTTTAATATTCTCTGCTGCTAATGTACCTAAGTTAAAGGATGCTTTAAATAAGGCAGAAGAACTGTCTAAAGCAAGCATAACTTTTGCCTTTGAAAAACTATAAAGAATTTCCTTAGGAAAAATGAAAAAACAAGCATACTAAGCCTTGGTCTTGGCCTGAAGACCATCTCCAATCCTTTTACTTCTAACGCACAGTTATCCTGCAGCAATGACCCCCATGGAACAGATAAAGAAATCGACTGGATAAAACCATCCGTGACTTCCAGAGGTGCATCTGCAGACTCCAGGATTTCATTCAGACACTAAAAGAAGAGAATCGAAAAAGTCACTCCCATAATCTGAGTATTATAATAACAAATGGAACATACGGAAGATATCAGAAAAGGAATTACACTCAAACAATCAGTAAAATGGTCATTTCTCAGTATTTTATTCTATCATAATTTGTTTCATGCTAATTACTGATCTTTCAATGTAATACAGATTCATCTGTGGATGGCTGTATAATCTGTGCTTTTGCAATACATCAATTTCTACTATCTTGCTGTAATAAATAGCACAGCAGTGGCACAAACCCGTCTATTCTTTTCCTGATATTTCTTGAAGAAAGCTGAAAAACAGCTGACAGTAAAAATGCAAGAAGTATCTAGTTTCTGTGGCAGTAAAAATGCAAGAAGAAACTAGTTTCTGTGGCAAGAGCATTTCCTTGGACTACAATTTCAATGTAATACCCATTTGACATTTCTCTGTGACAATGGAACCAAATAATCCCTTTTCACTGTATTTCATACATGCCATTTCTAAATCAAAGTATAATGACTTCAAAGTAATGCTCAGCACTAATAAGAAAAAGTAAAAATCAGAACTCAACTGCCAGACAAGTATTCTATAGACACTGTTCCTTTATCAGAGCCCTTTACAGTAACATTATAAATAAAGCTACAAACAATCAAGTTGCTCTAAGAAATACAGCATGAAGTGAAATGAATGAGAAAAATGGAATATTTGTTCTGAAGAAGTAATGCAGGGTTTGTTTGTTTGTTTGTTTTTTAAATTAACATTTTCAACAACCTTTTCAGTTCTGGAAAACCCTCTCAGAAAAGATTCTATTTTTGCACTGTATAGTTTTCACAACAACTTCACAGAGGTAAAAAGGCCTGTTTGCCAAGTAAACACATATACTTAGAGGAAAAAAAAAAATCCCTGTAATTTGTGTTCCTAATGAAAAGTTCAGTAATCTCCATTTTAACTAAGTAAGCACTTTGTATGCTGTTCAAACAGCATAAAAATCAATCTAAATCACACATCAAGCTTTGTGAGTGAAACTTTCTAATGTTGACAGAGAAAATGAAATTCTTCTGTCCCCAGTTATAATTCCGCATCATGCTAATTTGTAGCTCTTGCTTAGAGTCTTAATAACTTTGCTTTTAGTATGTTTAGGTTTTCTAGTTTCTGTTCCACAGTCCATACAAGCAATTAAAAAAATGACACCATCCTTAAAGAAACATAATCTGAAAGAGCTTCATGATAAAGTTATTTGAGAATCAAATAATAGACTAAGATTCAGTGACATTAAAACTGTATTTGGATTTACATGTAATAATTACAGAAATGGCAATAGCATCTGATAAGGCAAAAAATTAATGATACAGCAAGAAAATTGTGATATTTGAAAATATCACATATTTATTTAAATTACTTTAGCCTTTACAAATTATTTTTTCTTTAAAAGCAAGTAAGTTAATTCTCAAAACTATTTTTGAATAAATCTGAGTAAATCAGACCTCTTTTTGCCACCAATATGCATAGCAATAGAAATTCAACTATTTTACTATGTTTCTTATTATTTTGAAATAAAAATTTATTGTCTAAAAGCAAAAAATTCAAATACTTTATAGCTAGAGTCACAAACAACCCTACTGTTCCTGTAAAGTAATGATTACAGCATCCTAAGTGAAATTTTAAAACTGAGGCACTATCTTCACATCAGGACTTGTTCTCACTTTGACTGAAAGCCTTCAGTTGGAATCAAAGTAACACTGTAAAGAGTACCTACAGCACTATTTGATGTGCGCTGAAACTCAACCACAAACACCATGGATTACATTCTGATTTTTACTGAATAGTTCAGGTCCCAGGAGCCAAAGAGGTTACATGAGAATACCTGAGGCCACTAAGGTATCTCTATGATTGGTAAACACAAGTACAGCACTGGCTAAAATATCTACAACGTTAGGATGAACAAAGTATCCACAGAACGGATAAGATAATGTGCAAAACTACCGCCATCATGGTGATTCATAGAAAACAAGCTTACAATGACTAGGGGGAAAAAAGGAGCTGTAATACTTCCGCAACATCTGCTTTTGCAATCTGTCATACGTTAAAAAGTCACGTGCAAAGAGCCACTAACATGTAGTGCTTTCTTTGCAAGACAGAGCAAAAAACGCTGATCTCCAAATCGAGAAGGTAACCTAAGCAGTACTGTATATACATTTACTTACTGAGGATGTATATTTAACTTCATTTAGTACTATTCACAACTGCTACTGCTTCAGAGTACTTATATTTGAAATAATGTTTGACTACTGAAAATGGCTCTGAGATCCACTAGAGGGCATTGCAGTTCTATTAAAGCATGACAGCCTTCCTTGCTTCCTACAGAAAACAAGCTGCAGAGCCAGGAAAACAAAAACACGCGCACGCACAAACACACAATGGTGAGCATTTCTGCAAGTATCTTTCTACTGCCACTCCCAGGTATTTTTTCAAACAAACGACTGGTAAAACATTATATATAGTAAGAAATGTGTTTTGAAAATAGTTTGTAAAGCAGTAAGCTTGTATAGCTAGTTCATCATCTCTGCTATCCTGGAAGTCAATGACTGACACACACAAGTACATAAGGCTCCTTATGACTGCAGCTTGCCCAGCAGGTAGAATTCAATAATATCGGTAATTCAGCCAAGAAATTTTACAAAGCACTTACAAACATGGTCACAGCTCCTTGGATTACTCAAACAGACAACCTGTATATGTAGTATATATATATACATGCATACATACATATACACATATATAAGCATACAGATTGGGTTGGAAAAAAGCTTCAATTCATTCAAAAGGTGACAGCCTATGCTATGCAAATTCCAACTAAGCTGCAGCTTTCCACTTCTCCTTGCCAATAAGTACTTTCACCACTTTAAGACTGGGGAAAACATTTAGAATTCTGTGTGAACCAAGTTCAGCATAACATTATCCATAAGAGTCAAGATGCCTCTAGGCTGAAGCCTAAATACGGTTAGGCCAGGGATAACTTTATGCTTTTACCATCTGGTAGCCATCAGTAAACATGCTTCCCAGTTGCTACAGCAGCAACTTCTAGCTGTCTCAGCAATATCAACTCTTTTTTTCTCCTTGAAACGTCCGTAGCTCTTACCTTTTGGTTAAACAGTAATATACATTTTTGCTTCCTTTCCTTGTATTTCTCAAAATTAAAAATAACAGCAAAACCAAAACGTGGCTAGCAAAACAACTTATCTGCAACAAACGCCCAGTGTTAATTTTTTACTGTGCTCACACAACAGAGAAGAGTTCCCTGGACAAAACGCTAATTACAGCTTTAACGTTTTACATAAAGGAGGCTGGGTAATGAAAATAAAGTGGGTGTCAGCCGGTGGCAGGGAATCAGCTGGTCCCTCAGACGCAGCAGGAGCCGAGAGGGTGAAGCGCCAGCATCTCTTACCCACTTATCCAGCGGGACCTGCGTCAAGGAGCCGGTGCCCTGGTACAGATCCAGGCTGAGCTGCTCCAGGCTGAGCTTCTCCTGCAAGAAGTGGCCCAGGTACCTCTGCAGCAGGTACCTGCAGGCCCTCTTCTTGATGGACTCCGAGAACGGCCACGGCATGGCGGCGGCGGGCCGGGGCCGGG